CGACTAGTCGACTTCAATGCTCTGCCATGAGGCTTTAAGCTTGACGTCGACTAGTCGCTGGTCCTATAGAGGGCGCAACAGGATAAGAAATCTTTGAAGGACATCCACATTTACGCTCCGTTTCCAAACAGTTAAAATGACAAATAAATGCATACTCTGAAAGCTCTCCACAAGACACGTGCGATTATGTTACTGGATGCTCGAAATTGAACAGGAGAATGCACGTTTTAAACAGCTTATTGTACAGGTAAATGAATCGCCGTTCTAATCTAATGCGCTGCTGCACTGTAACGCACACATCACGCGCACAGAATCATTCAGCGCGGAAATGTATTGTCAACACTGTTCTGTGATTTCTCAATAAAATAGCTTAGAAACTGAAAAGTTCAAGCATATATTTCTTAATAACTAAATCCCACAGCTTCACTACTAGTAGAGAGACGCTGCCAGGTAGAATTAATTCACGCACGCAATCGCTCTCACTAATGCATTTATATGATTGTAATCTTTACTGAGCTACTTTATCTGTATCTGATTTAGAACGAGCAGAAATATGTGAGAAATATAACGACCCAAAGACAAAAGAACTTATAAAAATGGGCTGTTATAGGAGCAATAGCCATGTGGGCAGCGCTGTGTCATCTGCCATAGCTGTGCACAAGGTGTTTATTACAGCTGCAGACTTATTTGTTCATTAATGACGTCATCAGCGACTAGTCAACTTCGACTCTCATCACATAAAAGTCGACTTTAAAAAAAATCAGAAGTCGTTCAACCCCTAGTTTTACATGGACATTAGTAATTTATATAAAGTTTCTTCATTTAATAATAGAAATTAGCAATGAAATCCATTCAAAACTTACTATTTTACAAAACATCATAATTATTGACATTTCATCCACATTGGATAAATTTATTCTTGTTGCATTTTGCCATTGCTTGCTCTACATAGAATACAATGCTACCATATATATATATAATTATATACGATATAGTTTTGAATTTTAAATGCAGCCTTGGTGAGCATAACATACTTTTTTCAAAATCTTTTTGAATAGTTGTGTATATAATGTCAAGTCAGAAAGTCAAGTCAAGTAAAAAAAAAAACCTACAGACATTTGTTGTTTAAAGCTCATAGAAGGCTAATTTTATAAATAATATTATTTACCTAACATTTTCAACTCACTACATAAAACAAACTTTTTTTGTGCAATGTGTGCGTCTAACATTCAAATTTTTTCCCCCCAAAAAAGCCATAGCACCCCACAGAGTACCGTACTCCAGGAAGGTGCCTGTATGAGGTGTGATGAGGAGCGCTGATGTGGATGAGAGCAGCGTCTCTCACTTACGCTGGCTTGACTGGTGCTTTCCTCGCCTCCTCTGTCCTCCCGCTCGGCCGTCTCCAGCTAGTCAATTAAAAGAATGAGAGAGCTGTCAGCGAGTAATATGTCACAGGCTCGCGCTCACACACGTTCACACGGGGAAACTAAAGGACACGGGACACACCGCGGGGCAGGGAGCGGAATCACAGGCCTGACACGCCGAGAGCCGAAGGTCACGTTTGCAAATTGATTTCTCTAAATGCCAAATAAGCAGCAAAGCTCTAAAGCATTCGTCCTGCTCAATGAAACTCTAATGAAGCGCAGCGTAAATGCAGAGTGAAGGCAGCCATTTCAAGCCGCTCGGCTGAGATTAGTAACGCAAACTGATGCTGACGCAATATTTAGTGGCGTTTGCCATCACTATTGTTATTGCTCATGCTTATGGTTAGGGATTTGAACAAACCTCAAATCCATGTATTAAACTTTGGATTAGCACCATCTGGGCTACATACATGAATGCTATCTCAAATCACGCGGCTTGTCGAGGAGAGGCGCGTTATTACTTTTCTAAGTGATCTGATTTGCAATTTTCGGCATGCTGTGATAAAACAGGTGAAGAAATCCCATGAAAGACCTAAGCCATATCTAGATACCAGAATATTAAAGGCTCTGTCTGGCTTTTTTTTTGGACTCGTGGCAGCATACAGAGTGCCCTGGGGGCACCAGAATATAATAAAAAATCATGAAAATATTGTCTGGCCAACGGCAAGTTTTAGAGGGCCAAACACCAATGACATTTTCTATAGAAAATGTAAACGCTTTGTATTATAAAGCGGATTTCTTCAGCTCTAAATATGATTAGATGAATCCCATTTAAAGCTATTTTGAAATAGCCAAATACACAGTATGTACACCCGTGACCACATCGGCGGAATTCTATATTTGTATAATTAAATTAAAATAAAATATAAAATAAAAAATATTTTGATTCTTGTAATTAATACATATTTTTGTAATTACTAAATAAATGGTAACAAATTGTATTCTTTATGAAAAACCCCTTGAGATGCATCATCTCATATTCAAGGGGGTCCTAGTACACAAAAAATAATAAATAAATATATAATTAACAACAACAATAATTTGTTTCAAGGGGGTTCAAGTACACAAAAATAAATATATAAATATTTAATTAATAACAATAATAACAGTAAGTTGTTTCAAGGGGGTCCTAATACACAAAATAATAAATATATAAATATTTAATAATAATAATACATTGTTTCAAGGGGATCCTAATACACAATAAATTAATAATAATTATAATAAACTGCTATTATTGACTGAATATTTGCATCTTTTATCGTATTTCTGTTAAGTAAAAGGCCTCTC